AAAAAAAAAGTTGTATGAGCCCCCAATAAAATGATTTAAAAAAAGAAAGAAAAGGCCAATTTAATAACTCAAATAAATAAATAAAAACAAAGTTCTTCTGCTGTGGAAACCTCATCCAGAGTTCTCGTCCTCTGATCTCTCATAGCTAGTCAGTGATAGAGTTTAGTGTTCTGAGACGCAGACTTCGTCCCTGAGCCAGAACACAACAATTCTCATGTTCCTTTTGGATCATTATTGTAAAACAAAACAAACAGACAAACAAAAACCACCACCTTAGATACAATGGTGAACTCAGGAGCGCCTACATTTCTACTCCGCGTGGCCCCAAATTATAAGCATTAATAGACCCAACTTACAAATAAGCATCCAAAGAACGTGGCTTAGCCACCTAGCCAGTAATGATGGAACTGAGTCATCAGATCCAGCATGAAAAAGGAATTGGTGTAGGATCATTCGGGTAGAGCACTCAGCTCTCTGTGGGAAGCTGGGCAAATCGCCGGCAGTTTCGAACGGCCTTGCTCACCTCTGCACAGCATGCCACGGAGGCTACAGAACTGAACCCAAATGTCAGGAGTTTCCTTCTCCACATGAGTTTTTTTTCGTTTTGTTTTGTTTTATAAATCATTTTATTGGGGGCTCTTACAGCTCTTATAACAATCCATACATCATTTGTACATATGTTGCCATCATCCTTTTCAAAACATTTTTTTCAACTTAAGCCCTTAATATCAGCTCCTCTTTTTTCCCTCCCCCCTCATGAGCCCTTGATAAATTATAAGTTGTTATTATTTTTATATCTTACATTGTCCGCTATCTCCCTTCACCCACGTTTCTGTTGTTTGTCCCCCTGGGGAGGGGGGGCGAGTTATACATCAATCTCCTTTCCCCATTTCTTCCCCTTCCCCCCCACCCCACCTCTCCCCTTACCCTCATGGTATTGCTACTCCCATTATTGCTCTTGAGGAGTTTAATTGTCCTGGATCTGTGTGTCCAGAGCTCTTCTCTGTACCAAGTGTACAGACTGGTCTATTCAGATTTGTAAGATAGAACTGGGGTCATGATACTGGAGGGGCCCGGGGGAGGAAGCATTAAATAACTAAGGAATGTTGTATTTCCATAGGCGCTGTACTGCACCCTGGCTGACTCGTTCTTTCCTTGTGACAATTCTGTGAGGGGATGTCCAACTGTTTACATATGGGGTTTGGGTCTATATTCCAACCCCCCTTGTTCACATTGAAATGGTTGCTTGTTTTGGGTCTTCTGATACCTGATTCCTGCTCCCTTTAATCCCTCATGATCACACAGGCTGGTGTGCTTCTTCCATGTAGGCTTTGTTGCTTCCCTGCTAGATGGCCACTTGTTTAACTTCAAGCCTTTAAGACCCCAGACACTTTACTTTTGATAGTCGGGCACCATTAACTTTCTTTACCACATTTGCTTGTGCACCCATTTTGTCTTCAGTCATCGAGCTAGGAGGGTGAGCATCACAGAATGCCAGGTTGTTAGAACAAAGTCTTCTTGCATTGAGGCAGGGCTTGAGCAGAGGCCCAAAGTCCGTCTACTACCTCAATGTATTGCCATATAAATATATGAACATATGCCATTGCCTCTATTTTTATGAATGAATATATTTATATATGTACAAACCTATGTGTATACCTGTAGCCATAGCTTTGCTTCCTAGATCTTTCCTGTTTCCTTTTGCCTTCCTCCTGCCCCACCATTCCACTCACCATTCCTCTGCCTCTTAGTAATTCCTCTCATCTAGACTTCTGTGGCTCCAACATCCCCAGGATCTCTACGTCCTCCTCGTTGTTGATTTTAATTCCTGAGATTTCCCCTGTCTATGGCATTGTTTGCTCACCCCTTTCTTACCTCTCCTCCTCCCCCCCAAGTCCCTCCAGAACTGTCAGTCTCGTTGCTTTCTCTTCAAACTTGCTTCTCATGCCTATCTTGTAGGCAAACCAACAA